ATTGAGAGTAAGTAGTTATCTTGCATCTTAAGACTGTGGTTGGAATAGTGGGTCAATAGGTCTATAACTATGATATTCAACCATATAATCGGAAACATACAAATGTGAAGATATGGATTTCTGTTTGATTTTTAAGAATGTAATAACTTAAAAAAGTTATAAAAAATAATAATTGGAATGGAAAATAAATGTCGGTTTTATATCTCGGAGCAAACAAACCGTCATGATCCATGCATTCGTCCGCACTTTTTCTACTTTAATACTCAAAAATTAAGTGACTTGTTTATTGCTTAAGTGATAGATGGACTTAGCTTATTATTCTAAAAAAACATATATTAAGCTTATAAAGTCTTCAATACCTCCTTCATTGCAATACAAACATTTTTACAAATTAAGTATCACAATAATGTTAATAATGTAAATATATTACTAACATTTTAAAATATGAATCCACTTTTAATTAGTTTTTTAAAGAATTCTGTTATTGGAAATATTGGAATATTGAAAATAATCGTATGACTTTTTCTTGATATCAGTAGCTTTTTTTTATTAATTGCGGTATAAATACCAGTAAAATAAGACGCATTTATTAATAATTAATTTTTTTTTAATAATTTTTTATAAGCAGGTTTTACGAACAGTAGTGAACTACAACAACAAAAATTCATTTTTATATTATTTTAATTAATTGAATTTTTGGCTGACCATAAAGCTGTTTCGAGTATTGCCAAATACCCATCTTCAGTGGTCTTGGAAATAATTCTTGTATTTAATTATTCGTAAATAATTTTTTGAGACTGTAAGTAGCAGAGATTGAACTCGTGCCTTTACAGATTTGAAGCTCAGAGTCAGCGCTCCTGAACCAATGACCGAAACTTGTACTTGAGTTTGATGTTTACACATTTTTCTGGACTTTTGTTACAAGTTCACTTGCTGTGTTTATATTAGAACGAAATCATAAACCAGCTGTAGAATAATTAAATTAATTAATTATGTTTTTATTTTTTATAATTTTTTATTCAATTGTCAAAATTGAAAACATGAGTTCAAGTATCACAGAGTACGGTTCATTTAATATTTCATAGTCGTTTAGTGAACAACCCTTATTAAAAATATTCGATATTTATATGATTTTAAATACAATTATAAAACATTTTCATTCTAAATATTTACCTTCCTATTATCTTAGAACAGTTAACTGTTTAAGACGAATTACTTTTTTAAACAATTTTTTTTATATTAATAACAGAAATCCGATTTTAAATGCAATAGATAACAGTGGTTCCCTACTCACGTCTTAAAAGAGATACTGTATGTACATATATGTGACTTGCCTTTTAAAGTTAAGAAGTTTAGCTCGGTTCAGTGATAATTGTATTATATCAAAAGAAATACGGCAAAATTATATATATTTTTGTAAACACTTCAATATTTGTCAATTTGTTGTGTTTAATATAAATATCTAAATGTCTGCTGACAGATTGTAATTAAACAAATAACATATACATACATATATATATATATAGAGGAATATATTCAAAAAACAAAAAAAGTATACAATTTAGTAAAATGTGGAACAATTATATTTATACAATACTGCAAGCCATCCCTCTTTAGTATTCCCACACAGAGTATTTTTTTTATTTCTCTATGAAGAGTTTATTAATGGCAAGAAATAAAAAATATTTTCCTCCAACTTGTAATTTAATATGAAATACAGTTTGCCTACAGTAAATGACTGTTCACTTCCTTGACAGTTTTTATGATTAACTAAATATTTACAATATTTCTTCCCATATTTTGACAACGGCGATTATCGAAATATGCAGGCATCCATACGAGTGAAATTTTTCAGATGTCATTATAATTGTTTACTTAACAATATCCAATAAAAACGATACCTCGAACTTAATTCATTTGCCATATACGTTCTTAAATTGATACAGTACTCCACTGGGGGTGAAGGATGTTGATTATACGTTTCTTAGTTAACATACGGTGGGAACAGCAGGCCATCTAAAGACATAATTTAATATTACTGCCTCCTTGGTTTGAATACAAATTAAAGTAAGATGTAATATAAAAAACATACTAGAACAGAACTACCACTATCATTATCTTTTGTCTGTATTAACTTGAGTTTTAAAAAGTGACTTGGATTATATTATTATTAATTTATACTAATGTATTACTACTATTTATATTACTATTAAACTAAAATACACATTCGTTGATAGGCAGAAAAAATTTTTTTTGGAAAGATTGAGTCCATATAATTCCTATATAGTATACCAATTACACTATTTAAAGACTTTTATGTTAGTAACTACACTAGTTTAAAATAACTGTCAGCTTTTATATACAAATATTACCTTATGCTCAAAAAGTACCAGGATTTTGTAAATAAAACACACAAATTTAAATTTTATTCCAAATTTATTTTATCTCCTTCAAAATATGCTCCTTCTGAAGCGATACACATATCCCAACGCTTAATCCAATCTTCCATACACTTTTCGTTGGCCTGTGCAGGTATGGCTTTTAGTTCCTTCAGCGAATTCTCTTTTACCGATTCTATGGACTTAAAACGCTTACCACGATGGGGCAATTTGAGTTTCGGGAACAGGAAAAAGTCGCACGGCGCCAGATCTGGCGAATATGGTGCCTGAGCGATGACAGTGGTGTTGACAGCTGTGTCTGGTCAAAAAATCGCATACTACAAGAAATTTCCATAGTAAAAATCACTAAATGCACTTGAGGTAGTCTCCATATATGTCCATATATGTATGTCAAGAAAGGGTGTACCAACATAACAAAAAAAGAAATTTTACTTAAGGAGTAGTTAACAAACAACAAAATCCGGATACAGGTATGTATGAGTGCAATTTTTCGTTTAACCAAACATCGTTAATGAGTTAAACTTAAAAATCTCTTGAAGTAACTCAAGGATATATTGTTCAAGAAGGGGTATTTAAAGGAGAAGTTTAAAGTAGCTTCCTTTCTTCTAAAACCTTGCAATTATTATTTAAAATTATGCAACAATATAATGGGCAGGTATGCAGACTTCCGAAAATAAACAAACTATAACTGATCTGAATTTTCTTAGGTACACACTGATTCCCTTCTTTTTAGAAAAATTATATACGTAATTGAAGCAGTTTTAAAATGAGATAGTTTTCAACATAAACTCCACAGTTTTTAATTATTTAAAAAATCTCAAATGTGCAAAATGAGCTTTACTTCAGATGGTAACACTCATAGTCCATACTATTCATAGTCTCCATCACTGTCTTTAAAAGTAGTAAAAATATATCTCCTGATGATTTCCATTAGTATGAGCTGATTTAAGCATGTGAAATAGGTTGTTTGTTTAAATTTTACTCACTAAATACTTTTTGTTGGAAATTTATTTGTAAGGTTTGCATTTAACATTTTTCATCTTAAATGAGTTGATTTTTTTATGATGAGTTAATTTTTTATATGGTAAATTATTCTCATTAGCGGCCTTAATGAGCAAATCTGCCTAAATCAGACCAGTGGAAAAATGGTATAAGGTCAATGCTTTTACAACAGGCTCCCCACATAATATATTGACGCATTTTCTACGGTACATCTCTTCATTACACCCAAAGATAATAATCTCCATTCTCAGAAAAACATTAGCCGTTATTTTTTCTTTCAGAGTAGCAAACAAAAACTCGCAACTTGCAAAAGAAAGCATGTGAAGCCACAACAATGCTCTTAAAATCTTCAGAGTTAGGTTTTACTCGCAAAAATGTCAACTTCTTGGTTTTAAGTGCAGCAAAATTTAAAAATCAGTCTATTGTGCATTTTCACTGGAAATATGTTGCTAAATTCTCAGTCATCCGTTAAAATCATATGAGCATTTCATTTACTAATAAATTCAAATACATAAATAAATTAATTAATTTAAATACGTAAGACAGAAATGCTTGCCATTGAACTTCTAATATTCATTTTTCTTTTTTTTATTTAAATTAATTAATTTTTAGTGTTTACAATTTTTATATTCCACATTGTACACACAACACAACAAAAAGCATATGTCAAAAATAAGCATTTAACATATTTTAAAAGTGTTGCCAATTTGTTTTAACCCGACTTAATGCTGTTTTTTTACAACTCTGAAAGAAAAAACTACTGTTATTGTTTGGCGTGAATGAGCTATAGTTTCTATATTGACAAAGCAGTGACCTTAATATTGAATTCATACGACAGTTTTGTTTGTAATTTAAGCTGTCATTTCATATCATTCATGATTTCTACAGCAAAACAAGTTCAAGTCAAGAAAATTTGTTTGGGAATTTTATACTATGTTGAGGCTAGTTGAGTTGAGTCAGTGCACCTAAGCACTTTTACTCTCTATTAACTGCGAGGTTTCTACAAAATCCCTCTTTGCGCCTTGACTGGATTTTTGTGTATCACTTCATTAGACTAAGCAATAATTGACCTCAGATCTGCATATCTCCACGAGGAGCCTGTAACCATTCTGAGATTTGATAACGCGGTGTTAGTAAGACTGTCAGATTTCGCAAATAATTTCAGGGCTCTATCCTTTATGTATTTTTTGATGGGATCAATCTTGAGGTCCCTGAGGATGTCATTCGTGCTAATGTACCAAGGAACTTTGAAAAGTCTTCTAAAAAACGAACTGAATCGTAGTTTCCACAAAATCAAGTTGATTTTATTTTGGAGTGTTCACAGTAGAGCAGTATTGTACAGTACAAACCGTTTTCATGCAAAATGAAACGAAACTGTTGGATATCAGATGTGCATATCATTTGTGCAAACTATGTATCATACGTATATATCAAATGTGCTAAGTAAATATTTCGGGAAAGCAGTTAAAAACTGTTGAGATATAACAAATCTGACAATCAAATGACATTATTTTGTCGTCGGAATCTCGATATAGTTGCCTTTTGATTTAAGATGTCAGTTTTAAGTTTTTGACAACCAAAATTTTAAACAAAACTATCCAATATAAAGTAACTTGATTTTAGCTTGCATTTGAGCTTTCATTCTTATAAAATATTTTTTGCCTACAACACGTTGAGCACTATTCTGAACGGATAGAAAGAACGTATATTGTGAACTACTGATTTGAAAGCAAGAACAAGGTTTGACATTTTGTTTGTTAAATAAATTGAAGTAGTTTTTTTTTTAAAGGACAATTTTTACGTGCAATGGAAATTAATTTGGCACTTATAAAAGCAGTTCAAAAGCATCCAATTTTGTATAATAAAACCGGTACGTTGGAGGAGAGAAAAGTCATTTGGAAAAAACTCCAATATGAATTTGCTACACGAGGTTGAAGAAGAACTACATTATTTATTACTTCTGAAATTCGAATAATTATTTTGTTTTTAGTGAGATGGCTAAAAGCTCGCTGGGATTGGTTGCTTCAAAGTTTCTGTGACAAGCCGGAGTTCAAATATGCGAATGATATGTCCTATTTGTTGCCATATTTCGGTATTGAAGGTGTTGAAAAGAGATGTGAATGGCCATTTGCTATTTTACGGTCATTAGACACGATGGTGGAATATGATAGTGATTCTAGTGATGAGGGCGAAATGGATAGTGACGGTTTTAGAATCAAACGCGGTTACAGAAATAACGTCATATGTCAGAAGGAAGCGAAGGATGACGTAAACTATTTTAAGATTGTTGAAAAAGAAGTGTCCGTCAGAGTACTACAGTGTAACAACTCTGATAATAAGCAGCTAAAATTAATGGATACAGCTAAGGTAAATAAGGATAAGGAAACTTTTGACGCAAATAAGGAAGAGGTCGAATCTGAAGACGTCGAATCTGAGGAGGCCGAATCTGAAGAGGTCGAATCTGAAGAGGTCGAATCTGATGAGGTCGAATCTGAAGAGGTCGAATCTGAAGAGGATGATTCCGATGAAAATGAATTATTTGATACCTCGTCCTCATCTGAAGAGGAAATAATTGATGTTTAACAATTTTTTAAACTAAACTAGACTTAAACACTAAAAAAACGATGTTGAAGATAATTGTATGGTTTAAGCCATATAATTTATTTAATTAATACATTGTAGATGACTTTATATAAATAAATAAATTCAGCAAATACTTGTAGCTTTTAACTTATTTCTTTTTATTTAATTGTTCAAACTGATTTCTTGAAAATACATCTGATAACATTTGATTTGAATTATGAACCCAAATTAGAAGTGGAAAATAATAGTTTTTAATATTCAATATTAGTATATACCTTGTTGGTTAGAATTCTAGTAGGTTGACTGGAAGTAAATTACCATCAAATAGGGAAGTATTAAAAGTCCTTTTTTACCATGCTTGTGGTTAAGTTATGGTCAAGCGAAAGTGCTACATTTACTATAAAAGAACTTATCATATTTTGGCAACAGGCACGAATACCAATAAATGAACAATAGAAGATTTAAAAAAACAGTTCAAAGTTTGTGAGCTAAATGTAGTTTGTGTGCATTGGGATGAAAGATTGCTGTCAGCTTTAGACGGAAAACAAAATGTGGACCGTCGACCTATTATAATCTCAAGAGGGTCTGTTGAGCAATTACTTTAAATTCCTGCTCTGAAAAATGGTACAGGAAGAGCACAGGCATCTGCCATTTGAATGGGGTTTGCAGGATTACGTGCAAGCTTTGGTCTCTGATACGACAGCTGTAAACACTGGTTCTTTTAATGAAGCTTGCTCAATTATTGAAAAGCATTTAGAAAGAGATCTTTTATATTTAGCTTGCAGACATCACATTTACGAAACTATTCTCAAAAGTATCTTCCATGCTAAGGTTTGCAAGTCTGAAAGCCCAAATGTTGAATTATTTCAACGATTTCAAAATTTTTGGCCGAAAATAAGCGTTGACAAATTTGACAGTCGACTTAAAAAATGAAAAAGTGAGAAATTCATTGAACACAGATGATGTGTTATGAATTACAAGTTTCATTAATAAGATTCGTAAGGATAATCAACAAAGAGATGATTATGGGGAACTTCTGGAACTTGCATTAATATATATAGGAGAAAAGCCGAACTGCAGCATAAAGTTTCGAGATCTTGGGACTATACATCACGCAAGATGGATGGCGAAAGCCATGAATGCATTAAAAATATTTTTATTTAGGAAAGAGTTCAAACTATCTACAGAAGAAGAAAGTGCTCTTTGCAGTATATGTATATTTATTACTAAAGTGTGTGTTGAAGTATGGTTTAATGCTTTGTCATCAGTCATAGCTCATTTCCAATATTTTAATCTTCTTTCTATTCTCAGTCAATATGAAAAAATTCTATTTGGTATTTAAGCTCAAAGCTTGTTCATTTTGCTTTTTTGGATAAGGTGATAAATATATCACCTGAGACAAAGAAAAAGATGGTTTCAAATTTGAATATAGATAGTGATGACAAGGAAGTCAGGAGAGTATCAATAGATCGCGCAAAAAAAACTGAAATCGTCGACAAAGGAATTGAGGAGTTTGTATACAAAAATACTAAAAACATTTTTTATCGTTTCAAGTTGTGCGATGACTTCATGAAAATATGTCCCACAAAATGGCATAAAGACCTTAATTTTATTCAAGCTAAGATAACGCTTTTAAGCTTGAAAGTAGTAAACGATACGGCAAAGCGAGGAGTGACACTAATGCTGGGCTATAATTCTATTTAAATAAAAAAGGAGAATCAAAAATAGTGCATATTAAATATTATTAACGATTACAGCCGTCGTATTCCAAATTCTAATAAAGATACTTTGTTCCAGCAACTTTAAAAATAAAATAATAAAAGGTACATAATTTTTTTTTTATTAGAAGAAATATTAAATTTTAGATATTTTGAATGTATTTTAAATTTTTTAGAAATATTAAATTTTATGTAAAGTTAAAGCGGACAATTACATTCATAGTACTAGCAAAGCTAACAATCGATTGATTTCAGCTTATTTTTTCTTTTACACAATAATTATTAGAAATACAGAAAAACTTTGTATAAGTGAAGTGTTTACTTTAAATAGATCTATAACTTTAAGGAAGACAGTTTTTAAGTAAAATTAAATATGTCGAAGATATAAGCATTCAAAAATGAATTTTATGGAAAAAATCGTTATTTTCCAATCTTTGGGGCTCCACTTATGCAATTTAACTAAAATTTTACACAGATTATTTTTTTAGTAAAATGAACCGATCTGGGGGGTGCGGTCAACCGATTTTTCGAAAAAAAAAATTGCCCATACACCTTAATGGCACCCTAATGTATGTATTGATATATACTGTACTTGAAAAGGAGGGCTTGATTTTCAAATTTTTTAATTATAGACCCATAATAGGTGTAGTATTCAGTGTGTATATATTATGGAAGATATGACGATAACATATTCAATTCAATTCATGCTAATCGAATCAATCTAGCATATAATACTAATTAGAAGGTATAAAACAAAACTCTTGAAAATATTAATAGAAGTTATCTCAAGAAAACCTGAATACTTTCAGCACTTAAAATATAGTACGTTTATTCTTGAAGACTAAATGCTTTAAAAACTTTACTAATAACAAAAATTTCATTTTAAATTTTTTTTTTTAAAAAATTAATTTATATAAGTAATAAGTAATAAAATAAAACATTGCAATAAATCTTTTTCCATCTTTATATTAAGAAATTTTTTTCTCTTTTTCCTTCTGCAGCACTGGTTTTAGTGATAATAATATTCACGATTGAGTATTCTTCAAAGATCAAATGACAAAGAAAATTGCCATTAGTCATGTAAGATATAGAAAAAACAGTTGAACTATCACAAAACTATTATATCTATTAAAAATCACTGCCTGGAGGTGTGAAGGTTGGTTAGTTGATTGGAGTGGCAAGTGACCAAATATTCGTTCACTTCTCATAATTAAGACAAGCTCACTATTATGCTGTCATATTCCTTGTAAGAACCCATAAAAGACGAAAACTAGATCAACCTAGTTAAATTTGATTAATAAATTTAAAAAATATTCCATCTTATTAATAAGCAGTTCGATAAGCTATCATAGACGTGCTACCTATGAATCTATTTCTTCATGAAGCCAAAGCAGGACAGTTACTAAAAAAATAATTAATTACTTTTTTTTTTTTAAACTCCAGCTTTTATTTCAAAACACTATTCTCCTGATTGGGCAACTTTCTCAAGATGTGGTCTTGTTATATAACTGCCATGTCAGCCCAAAAGTTACACATGACTGCACTGAAGATGTTATGGTCACCATCACATGATTACCAATTATATTTAACATTGCGATATTAAAGTCAAACACACTTTTTTTCACTGTATTGAGCAAAAAATTATCCATATGTGTCAGAGGTGAATTCTATTTAAGCCGACAGTCTTTATACTCTCACCAGTTATTATATATTGATCGCTTTTAAAATGACAATATTCTGTTAGTGAAACAGTACCTAAGTGACTTTCACAGTGTCAGAAGAAGTTACTGGAGGTACTTAGAATGATATATCTTAGTTCGTTAGTAGGTAATTTGATCGTTATAAATATGTTATGTTAAGTCCTTTTAACAAATTATGAATAATTCAAGACCTAACACTATTTGTCAAGACCATAGTTAAGTCGTAGACAATTCCACTATACACAGAAATTAAGTACAGCAGGCACCTGCAAAAGAAATTAACTAGCGATAACTACTTGAGTAATTTTTATGAAAAGAAATTTAACTCAATCAACGATCAATATGCATATGTACAACACAATATATTCATATAATCAATAGAGATTAATACAAAGATCACGAGTTAGGATGAGAAGGCGCGTGCTGACAGTTATCAGCACTTCCAGGCATATCAGCAGGCATATATTGCCCATTGTGATGCTTTGAAAGATTATGCCGACGGAGGCGAGTTGCTAACCTTTGTTAACTTCGTGTATTATTCTTGTTAAACCATTCGAGAAGATCCGAAAAGTTTTAATTTCGTTATCTCCTTCAGGCTTGCGAAAAAACGATCCCCAAGACATTGACGTCGTCTTGTTTGCAGTCCTGGACTGAGACATAGGATGTGATTGATAGATTCTATCTCTTCCTCACCTTGACAACTTCTGCATAATCCACTTGTTGGAACTCGCCACCGTTATAGCATAGGCGTAATGGTACACTGCCTCAGTAAGTACACAAACTGCAGGTTTGCGGAAGATCAGTCTTGTAATTTTATTTTTGTCCCAATAAGCCTTAAGGTTCTAGCGACCTCACAATCTTCGTGTTTAGTCCATAAATCGTTAGTCACCGCCGTGGTGATTCGCTCTATGAACCTAAACAGTTCACCTACCGCTGCTTGTACTGAGAGGTCGGCCTCTTGTATGCACTTCACAACCTCTTCTGACCATCTCTTCTGCTAGTTTATTCTCTTTAAAATATTGCTATGTCCAGGAACACAGTATAGAGAGACCTTGTAAGATTTTAGCGACATTTTAGTACAATCTTGGGTTTAACCGTTTTGGATTCAATTGGTTTTAATGCGGCCTGACTATCTACAAAAATTGTGATATTCCAAGGACGAATTGTAATAAGTTGTATAAGATTGTCTGCTTTTTCAATAGCATATATCTCAGATTGAAAGACACTGCAAGTATCAGAGAGTCGGTAGGACTGCCTTATCTGTATATCTTTCGAGAAAACGCCTACTCTTGTACCACCCTCCATCTTTAAGCCATCTGTGTAGGTGGTAACTACAGAGTTACCCATCATAGATCCCAGATCCCAGTTATCTCTGGTTGGATAAAATATCTTGAACTAAATATGAGTATTATGAATTTAATAATCCATTGTTATAAATACTTACATTATTTTTAAATCGCTTTTTAAATAACTCGTATTTCCTAACTACTTATTCTTTATTATTGTACTTAAACTGGCTTTGAGTTTCAATACATTTTGGAAGTGGCCACTTTTAAATTTCTTGGAATATTTTTCAAATTTCTATTAACTTTAAAAATTGCAAGTTACATGAGTCTATGTCTACATATGTTTATGAGTATTTCCTTATTTAAGCACAGTTCGAAACTAAACGGTATTGTCATTTTATATTCCTATTAGCTTAGAAATTAATTCTTCTCCTTCTACTTCAGCCACTGGAACTGCGACACCAATTGACTCTTTCAATCTTTGCAGCTTCGTTATTGTTTCATTGAACGGCACGTATACAAATAAGAATGGAATAATGGTGAAAAAAGAAGACTGAGTGGTGATGATGGTTTGTATATACCCTGCTGCCGTTTAGTAAACTTTCTGCCTGGGGACCCCTATTACCTTAACTAAGAACAAAAAAAAAATAAAAAAACAAAAACAATTTCTTGTTGAACAAAGGCACTTTAGCTACAATGAAAAGCCGATTTGCCTTGTTCAAGTAGCGAGAAAAAATGTTTGCTTTTTGGTTTTTGTTACCAACACAACCGGAAAAATATTGGAACGTGTAGCACATTGACATTCTATTGCAACTAGAAAAGTCAAAATCGTGGCAATGCTACAGTCTACGGAACCAACAGAAACGCTTCTATTTGGTATGATTGTTTTTGCTTTTTTTTGTGTTCTTAGACTTGGAAAGCTTCAAAAAAACAAACAAAAAACCAAAAAGGAAAAAAAAAATAAAATTAATTTGAAAAAATATTTTAAGTATTTATATATGCACTTATACATATGGGAATGAATTCGAACAAGTTACATACACAACACGGCATACGGCTGACAATAATCCCGACAAATTCATTCTGTCACTCATTCCATGTGCTGTGCGGTACAAACACACGTACCGTTGGTTAAATGTGCCAAAATGCCAAAGTGTTTACGATAAAGTGCAGTGTCAATTGTTGGGTGAGTCTTCGAGTGGAAATCGTACATACTTGTGCTCTGCTCGCATCCTTGCCCATCAACATTAGCATCATGAGTACCGAAAGCATTAATACTATAGTCAAACTTTCATTCCAACTCCATAGTCACATTTTGTCGATGTGTTTTAACTCTAAACTTGCCCCATAAATTGCGCATTTACACACAAAGCTGCACCCATACCCATACCCACATCCACACACACCCATCAAGGCTGCTAAGGATACTACGCAGACTTTACTCACTCACCCAATTGGATCCCTGCTACGATTGCTGTGATTGTGAGTTGTGTTCATTGTGTTGTTTATGCGTTGTCTTTATTTCTAATCTACTCAACGACAGTTGAAATATTTTACAAATTTCAGTGCTGTGTATATTTTTATACTTTTCCATTCTTCCAAACTCGCACATATTTTTGCATACTCGACGTACCTTTTAGGGGTTGTGTTCACAGCACCGTCAGCTTGACACTTCCCTTCACTGCCCTACGCTCGATACTGTGACGATTACTTCTCAGCTGCGTAATTGTCCTCTGCTTATGAATCGATGAATTATAATTACAGTTTCGGAATAAACTAAAGTGGGAGATTATGCAGAGTTTCCTTTCGTTCTTTAAAAAGCCACATTTTTTAAATGAAGGGAGGAGGATCCTTTGTGATTATTCCACATAATTGTAAGTGACTAAATGATTGTGTCATAAACTGTGACACTTCGAGCATAAATTGTGGAATAATTCAATTTTATAATATATTTAATTTTTTAATTGTAGTTTAACGTCAGTTATGATGTAAGTGACTATTTTACTTAATAGAAACTTATGTATTTAACAAAAAGGTTTCGAACATTAGTGAACTACAATAACAAAAAATTTTATTAACTTTAATTAAGTATGTGTTTGGCTGACCATATACAGCTATTTCAAGTATTGCCAAATACTTATCATTAGTAGTTTCCGAATTATTTCTTATATTAAATTATTCCTAAATAATCGTTTGAGACTGCAAGCTCTAAGCTTTAAATTTGGCAGGGTACCAGTTCAATTCTTGATACTTGCAGTCCCAAAAAATTAGTAACGAATAGTTTAATATAAGTAATATAAAATACTTTTATTAATAAAGTAAATAAAATAGTTAATAAAATATTTATTTATTATAATATTTTAATAATAAAATAATAGTTTTATATTTAATAAATAATATTATTATATATTCATATTTAATAAAATAGTTTTTTTGGAATATGAAAACAACGATAGACACACCATAGCGATATTTAATTTCAAAACGATTTAATATTATATTAAATTTAATATCATTTAATTTGCTGAAAAGTTTTCTGTATAGTACTACATTTAGCAAAAACTGAATTAAAAATAATTCTTAAGAAATTAATATACTTTTCATTTTACTACAAAAAAAAGAAAACAGCGATTTGAACTACTATGTTGAGTAATTAATCTCAATTAAATTTCAAACACTAATACACAATTTCGAAAAAAAATGTCATGCCAATAAAATGAGGGAACGAGAAAGAAATATAGACCCCTAACTTGACTCCTAAACAACTGAACAATGTCGACAATTTAAGGCATAAAGGGTACCAGAGCAGAATAATTTTGAAACCTTTTGATTCGGTACAATCTAGTGATCTTCCAAAAATTATCATTAATGAAAACGAATATTATACCATGTTACCATGCTCAGTTATTAAATTTCTTAATTAGCTTTAAGATTATGTCGTTTCCATTGGGAAAAGTTACTTATTGCATGTGAAAGAGCTTTTAGGTGTCAAAAAGTTCTATAAATATGCTAAGAGAACTCTTCTTTCTTTACATTTCAATTGTAAGTAGATGATATTTTGTTTTGTATTGTTGGCAGAAACTAATTAATTCAGCATAGAAAACAGAGAATATGCAAATATCTGTTCAAAAGCCTATTCTCCCAAAATATAAACAAATTCGGCTCATCTCGAGATCACACTCAAAAAACTCTTCAATGTCTTCTTTCTAAGAGGTTTATTCTTTGGCATGAATGAATTGTAATTTAAAGATGAGTTCACTAATTAAATGGTGTCCTTAAAGTGACTTTATTTTAGTTTGCATTTGAGTTTTCATTCTTATAAAATATGCTTTGGCTATAATACGTTGAGCACTATTGTGAATGCATAAAATCAACTTATATTGTGAATTAGCAATTTTATAATCAGAAAATAGTTTGACTTTTTGATTTCTGAAAATCAAAACTTAAAAATTTTCACGCTAAAATGGAAATTAATTTAGCGCTTATAAAAGCAATTCAAAAGCACCAAAAGTTGTATGACAAAACCGGGTCGTTGGAGGAAACAAAACGAATTTGGAAACAACTGGAAGCAGAATTTCAAACGGAAGGTAAAAACCAACCAAGCTATTTATTGTTTCTATAAATAAAAGGTGTTTTATTTTTAGATAAATGGCTAAAGGCCCGCTGGGATTGGTTGGTTCAAAGTTTTTGTGACAAACCAGGGTTCAAATATGGAAATGATATGTCTTATTTGTTACCACATCTCGGTATTGTGGGTATTAAAACAAGACGTGAATGGCCACATTCAATAGTTCCAAAATCTGACGGTTTCAGTGACGATGAGGTAAAAGTAGACAAAAAGCATTCCAATATGCGTTTCACAAAAAAGGAACTATTTCCGGATTCTAAAACTGATGATGACCTGGACGATTTTATGATTTTCGATGAATGTCGTACAATTTATGCAGAAATGTTTGAAAATAAGCCGCTGGAATTAATGGACACAGTTGATGGAAGTGATAAACAAGAGATTGTCGAGGCAAATGGTGAAGTGTTGGTATCTGAGGAGGACAGGAGGACACTACCATTTACAGAGTCTGAGATATAACTACTTAAATGTCGAAAATGCAAATTTTTAAAACCTCAATGGCCACTATCTCCTAGAAAAAAATAATAATAAAAATAATAATAATAATAATAATATTTATTTAATAATTTATTTGTAAGTTAGCAATAAACTTAATTGTAAAGTTAACTAAGAATAAGGAACTGGACTTCTAAGTCCTTCGCACCAGATAATAAAAATAATTTCAAACATATCTTAGGTGTTGAGGTACGCCATTGGGTCAGTTAACTAATGCACGCTGACTCTAAACTTTAAATTTGGCAGGGTATAAGTTGAACCATTGGTACTTGCAGCTTCAAAAAATTATTTACGAATAATAAAATTTAAGAAATGATGCCAAGACCACTGATGATGGGTATTTGGTTATACTTGAAACAATTAATTAAAAATAAATAAAAATTTTTGCTGTTGCAGTTCAGTACTGTTAGAAACCTCTCTAAAAAATTCGTACATATATAATTTTCTTTTTTCTACATATTAAAATATGCTATCAAGATTCGAGAACATGTGTAGAACAAATATTGTTATTATTGTGCTTGATTTGCTATAAAGAACTTTGAGTCTACGAATCCGGAACTGTCATAAATCTAAGACTAAACTGCAAAATTATTTCATATCTATAAATCCACTAAACTGTATTTTTTATACAGTTAGTTCAGTCTTGTGTAAAAATTGGCGAGATGATGATTCAAATTATTAATTAACTTCCTTTAATTAATTTCAAATCGATTTATTAACTATTAAAAGTCAGAGCCATTAATTGTATTGTGAAATCCTTCGAATTATGTTAGGAAATTCAGTTTGATTAAAATTTCAAATTCACTTCACATTTTTAAGTATGTACTTGAAAGTACAGAGACAGAGGCTTGTAAGCAGCGTGAGAACTGCTAAGTGTTTTGTGGCCACACTCCTTTCTTCTATCGCAATTCCATGTCCGTCCAACTGTGAATTATTGGTATTACAAACCTAGCCACAGTCAATCATCATACCGTGGTTGCAAAAATTTAAATTGTTTGTCAAAGCATAAGTGGCGATGGTACAAAATTAATTCTGGTCACGTTTTAAGTGACAGCAAACCAGTGGAAAAAGGAACACAGTGGGTCGAAATCGTAGGAAAGCACATTAATTTATGTATAATGTTTAAATTAATATCAAATTAGAAAAAAATTACCAAATTTTATCTGCACTCACACTCTCTTCTCATATGTATCGTGTGTTGTAAATGTACATCATTCTTATCAAGATTTTGTTCACTAACACAATTTATAAATGTAAATATGAACCATAAAATCTCTCGACCGACTACTGCAACCGACGACTTCCATTGCTCAATTTCGATTACTGATGACTACTGATTAATGGCTACTGACTGCTGACGTCACTTTACCTCTACTATAGCCTTATACTCCCTCATTTAGATAGGTATAAATGTTAGGTATATAAACTTCTCATCATTTAAATGAACTAAGGAACGACTTTTGTTGTAGAACCGCAGAAGGCACCTATGGAGAAGTGACCCTAACGATGATATAATAAAATAATATTATATTTTTAAGACTTACATAAAATTTTTTGAAATTTAAAATTAATAATTATATTTTTAAGCAAGATTTGTTCATTAAAAAAAACAATAAAGTAAAAGAACATTAATAATTAATTAAAACTCCAGAAAAATATGCGAACAAAAAAGTCAAGTACGGCTTTGGATCAGTTGGTTAAGGTGCGCTGATTCTGAGCTTCACATTTGGCAGGACCCGAGTTCGATTCCTGGTACTTGCAGTCTCAAAAAAAAAATAATTATTTACGAATAATTAAATACAAGAATTATTTCCAAGACCACTGATGATGGGTATTTGGCAATACTCGAAACAGCTGTATGGTCAGCCAAAAATTCAAAAATATAATATAAAAAATAAATTTTTGTTGTTGTATTTCACTACTGTTCGAAAAAACCTCTTTATTAATTAATTAAGAAATATTAAATGAATGTTACATTCATAAACAATTTTTGCTCTTCTCTGTAGACGCAGACGTAGGTCTATCTCAAGCAATACCATTTGCGTAAGAGTCCAAAACGCCCAAGTGTGTAAAATGGTGAGTTATTTTTATATAATTTTTAATGAAATAATTTTTAAAATTATCTTCGTGAACTTTTTTATAAGTAATGGACCTCAAAATGTTAACGGACATCTAAAAACTATGCTATTTGGTCCTTGTGTATATAATCCAGAACTGATTGCAGTCCACTTTAGTTAATTGATTTCGAAGGGAGGCTGTCTTTACTTTTTGTTATTTTCGAGCATATAGAGTGAATCATCATGTCATTGATATGAATCCTTTTGTGCAAATGATATGCATTAAAAATTATATCTCTTTCGGGTACCTACAGGTTACCCTGTGATATTGTAATCTCTTATGATTTTTTTTAATAGAAATACGTTCTACACACTATATGCAATATTCGTCTCTTCTACAAAACTTTACATTCTTAAAATTATTTAAATAAAAAATAATAATATTTATATTAATATGACAAAGGGCACAATAGACCCGACTGTCGCAGTGCTACATCCCCTAACAATAATAATAATATGACAAACAAAGATAATTATTAAAACAAAGTAATAATGAACTTGAACCGCGTGTAGACGTTGTTCATTATAGTTAAAATAGATCGACTAAATCGCTTAGTTGACCAAGTCATCCCTTCAAATGACATTAGAGAAGTGACTTCTTTATAGAACATTAAGCAACATAAAAATACGTCGAGCATTTAATTAAAAATATAAATTTTAATTCTGCAAAATATATTCTGCTTATTTTCCTAAAATGATTTATATTAAATAAAATAATCTACTAATCCCAGCATTTGCATCAATTGTATGCTGCTCTGCGTTGCGTACTCCAATTTGATACAGATTTGAATCTTTGAATCCTTTTCGTAAGAAGACACTTTATCTGGATTTACTCTTTGGCATCAATTAAAATCATAATCACATTTAATGTAAACATTGGGATATTAATGAAAGATTTAATGTAATTAAAGTCAAAATAACAAAAACTACAAGAATAAGAAAACATTGTTGCAGCACACAAGCACTTTAAGCACAAACGGTCGCCATATCCGATTATAAGTTGCGCTACTTTTAAAAAATTTTACAATAATATTTTAATTTTAATTTTGATTATATCTAAAAAAAAAAACAAATTTTAATTTTTTTTTTTATTCCTATAAAGCAATCATTTTCTAGCAGAAGAGTGAATTTTTTTATATAAAATATAGTGAATTTAGGTAAAGGTGCATAATAGATCAAGCTGTTCGAAGTGCATAATGGCCTTAACCATTACCATTATTCATCACATTATGCCTTGCGTTGTCATCTTAAAAAGATAAATCTTTTCCAATAGACATAGTGTTGCATTATACTTGGAAGTAAATGAAATCTTTAGTTATATTTTATGTGAATGTCTGCTATTAATCGGCTAAGTCAAAACAGGTCCTTGATTGTTATGAGCTTCTCCAAGTAGTTGCGGCTCGGAATAAGGTAAGCCTTTACTCGGTTCCAGGTCACAGGGGAGTTTTGAGAAATTATCAAGCTGATGACCTATCCAGAACTGCATCAAAAACTACTTTTACAAGCCCTCAATCATTTTGTGGTATAAACTGGGTCGAAAAAAACAAATTATCAATGAAAGGGACAATCATATGTGCCTAGAATACTAGGAAAACTTTCCAGGACTCCTACAACAACATCCTTATATTCTCAAAATATAGTTTAAGGTTTTTAATGGGTTTCATTAAGGTTGTTAATGGTCTGAAATATCACCTTAATAATCTACAACTATCTGCTAAATCGGAACGCAGATTACGCCTCGAAGATGAGGAAACTACCATGCATATTCTTTGTGACTGTCCAGCTTTAATAACGCACAGAAGAAACTTGTTTCATATGGAATTTCTGTCACCAGAGCAGATTAAGAACTCTTCTTTTATTCACAAAGATTTAAAGAGCTTTGTGTAATCAATAGTGAAATTTGTACAATAGGACTCTTCTGTCCGCAGTACCGGCTGTTGTGCGATTTCACGTCTAAACTTTTAAGAACATATAATTGGAGTTTGGAGTTCGACAAATTGTACTTGAGTTTATGAAGTTCAAACGCTTGTTACAAGTTTGCTTTATCTGGATAAAGCGATGCTCCCTTGTGTCAGCTTAAAAGCAGATAAATATAAAAATGATAATATACTCAATTTTCAAAGTTATAGTAATCTACCCCGTTAAATATTGGAATTCAGAAACATAATATTTCACTTTCAAATTTTTTTTATCCTATATGCCGGGAAGTATGATTGTGGATGTAATTTTCGTATAATGTAAGCTGATAGAAAGCTTTTTAAACCAACTTTTCTTTAAATTTCTATTTACGTTACAACTTAAGATGTTGAAATTACAAATATTAACAATTCAGGCAATGATTCCTTAATTTCTTAAAATTTTATATGTTTTCTGTATCAGGTTTTCACTTCAGCTAAAACTATTTGTGAAAATGATGTTCAGATTTGGTCGTTTCCATTGGCATCAGCTGATTTATGCCTGTGAAATATCTTGCTTATTTAATATTTAAATAAGTAAATTAATTGTAAATAAATATGTAATATTTAGTTTACAAGATATTTAGTTTAGTCGCACTAGACATTTTTTGCCATAAATGAGTTGATTTATTTATAATGAGCTCATTTATATGAAATCTTTTTGTAAAAAAAATTAGCGGCCTTAATAAGCCAAACTACCTAAATGGGACTATATGAATATGGTATTAAATCACTTAATTTATTTATAATGACCTCATTTAGATAAAAACTTTTTATATGTTAAATTATCCTCATTAGTAGCCTTAACGAGCAAAACTGTCTTAATGAGACATGATAATAGTTACGAACGTAATGAGCTAAATGAAACAAGGTCATATAATTTTTTTATAAAAATTTTTAAATAATTTTTTCTATAATTATATGATTAATTT